CTCTAAGGATTGCCGTGGTGTTATCAACATTGTGGTCAGTGGCCACCCTGGGGAAACAAGAGCACAGAGGAAGCCTGTTAACCCAAGATTAAAGTCCTTTGACCTTTCCCAGCTGGTAAATGAGTCAGAGGCAGAACTCATTTCTTACAAACACATCCAGCTCCTGGCAGAACTCGGGGCAGCTCCACAGTTGTGTAAGTCCTTGCTAAGGCACACAGCAGAGCCCTACTTCCCCACAGAGACAAAGCACTTCCTTAACACAGGCTTGCCTGGATACTTCTCTGTTCTCGGTCATCTCCAGCCTCACAGGAATCACAGCAGCTTTATCATAATGCAGATGCAGGACTGAACTCTTCGTTCAGTACCTTCACTGGAAAAGACAAGACTGGCCACCTCAAGATGCATGGCCCAAGGTAAACTAACCACAAATACTTTATCTCTAGAAGCACCATGATTTTACTCTGCTTGCTGTTTCATCCTGCAAGCCCACTATTTAAGCTGCACAGCCTGGCTGAGAGCACATGTTCACTGTTGCCTCACCCTATGCCTGGGAATCACTCATGACAGGATGGGGGACTCTGTTAAGACACTGAGAGGAACCCCCACTAGCACACTGCTAGCCAGGGAAGGAACACATCACTTGATGCTCTACAGCATGGATAATTAGAGCCAAAGCCTTGAAAGCCACTTGCCTCCAGTTTGCAACCTGCAATTGGAACAGCCCCTCACAATTGTCCTGTGTATAGCCAAGCTATGAGCAGGTATGCTCAACATACCAGGATCAGCATCACACTTCCTTTCCCCCACCCTGCTACAGACAGCAAGCAGCAAGGCTGAGGCTCAGAGAGGCAGTTGCTTTCTTACGGTTTCCTGATGCAGAGGTTACAAGTTTGTGAAAACACACAGAGCTTTGCAGATATTAAAACGCTGCCGTAGCACCCAGTCTCAAACAGTGGGGTGAGAGAAACCTGCCTGCTTCCTCTCTGGCCTCTGCCATGCTCCTCGAAAGCAGCATCTGAAGAATGTTTTTCCCTTGGAATTGAATAGTATACCTGAACAAACTGGAACAGAAAGCACAGATCTGTGTTTCTGCAGTAATCATGTGGAAAAGCTCCCAAAAGAGCCACAATCTCTGCCTGTGACCCTCAAGACTTTGGGGTAGAAGGTGAACAAGCCAAATCACATCCCAGATGCTTCTTTCCAGCATGTGTTTCCCTGGGATCAGGACTACTCACATCCAATATCTGGCCACTCATGTGGTCGTGGCAGCTCCCACAGCAAATTCCCCTAGGTGAAAAGGCTTCTCATTTTTTCCTGGCCAGCAGGCAGAAAAGCACAGCCCTGTGGTAGGACACAGCTTGTGCAGCTAAAGCTTGGCAAGCTCCACTGAGAATTTACAACCCCTTTATATTCCTCTGGGAGTATAAATACTTTCAAAAGACCCCACGGAGAGATAGCAAAGCTGGTGTGAAACATGTCCCTAAATGGTGGGCACTGGAATTGCCTATTTTAACCTCCAGCTCCCGAGACCCCAAAGCACTTCCCATAGCATCTTCCACCCTACTTAAAACCTGAGATACCTGTAGTCAGGGGAGAGCACACAAAAGGGAGAGAGGGGGCACATCCCAAACCCTTGAGCTACTCTGAGCTATTCCAGGATAACACCTCTACCCCAAGTCATCATATGATCCTCCAGATGAGAATCAGGGCATAAACCATTTCTAGTTCATGCATCTGGAAGACATAACTCCCATGAGATTTAGCCTGCTTTAAATTAAAAATAATAAAAAAAAAAAATCAAATATTTAATTTCAAGTTTATAAATAAACAGAAGAACACAATCATTTAAGAACAGGAAGCTTTTTTGTTGAATATTTATTCCTGCTTATTAAAACTACAAATAACGGAAGTTCAGCAATTGAATAGAGGCTGATTTCTTTGCTTTTAACTGCTCTGCTATGACAGAGCAAGGCTGGGTTTAGTTGTATCTTCAGGGTTTGATTTTGACCAAGACCCTGGGTCAGACTGCATGATAGATCTAGTTTACAGTGTTTAACTAGACTAAAACAATAATAGTGCTGACTTGGTAGAACAGACTAAGTCAAACTTGCTCCATTTTATGGATCACAGCTCATCCACTTAACCCATGTTTTAGAACACTTGCTTGGGCCTCCCACAGCCACTGCACATTTCACTAGTTTTGTTCCACTTTCCTGCCACACTCCAGCTGCACAGTCACTCAACAATGGCTCCAAAATTCCTAAAATACCAGAGAACTGTGAAAATGGCTTAATGTGCATGATAATCACTGGAGTTGCAGTGGCACAAAGAAGCTTCTCCTATACAATGGGACCATACTGAAATGAGGTGTCACACAAAGCAGGTGAAGATGACGATGGCCACCCTGAAGACTGTCAATCTTACACCATACTAATTGCCAGGTCCAGGCTAGTCTTGAAGATCCCGCAAACCCTTAAAGTAAACATGCAATTCCCAGTGAGGTCCCATTTCTCTCAGCAAATGTCATGCCACTCCTTCTAACCCCACATAAGATCAGTGGAAACATGCGTGGGGGTTTGCTACAGTCCAGGGAGGGAAACGGGAAGCTTCAACTGAAGCATGTTAAATTAGCCCTGGCTTTATGGTGGCTGCTCCCTTGTCTCAGCCAGGAGATTAGGAGATTTTTCTCCATTCAGCTCTGTGCACACACAAGCCCAAAAATGTAATTGTAGAAAGCTGTTTGCCCAGACGTGCAACGGAAACCCAAAGCTCACAAATAAACCACCATTTTCTTGACAAAACCACACAAAACCAACCAACCAACCAAAACCAAAACACACACACACACACAAAAAAAAAACCAAACAAACAAACAAAAAACCCCACACACCATTCAACTTCAGAGAAAATTATTAACATGAAGGCTGTTTCCTCAGTTGCTCAGAGTTGCTTCATGAAGCCCAAAATTTTAACTAGCAGAAGAAACCTTGAAGTTGAAAGACAGTGGTTGAAGAGATATTGCAACTCCGCCCTCAAAAGCCAGCTACCCTCAATAGCTAAACCTTCTTTGTTTCCCCAAGCAAGACAAGGGAGTGAAGGATGCTTTCCTCTTACATCTTTATCTCCAATTCCTATCACGTCAGACCTCACAAGTTTTACCGCATGAACACACCACCATCCTAAGAGTGCAGCACACCAAAGACTGCTACCACCTCATCTTGCCCTGGGCTATCAGCTGCCTAGGGAAAAATTTTCTCAGTATTCATTTCAGATTCCCCACACCTGATGTTCTCCATCCTGCTTCTGGTAAGGCAGTATGCCCTTGACCAAATTCACCCCAGCAGACCCCAACAGCTAACACCCTCCAGACAAAAGTGAGACACATGAATGGGAGCCTGGAGGAACCCCTAGATCTACCTGCAGGGAAACCACTAGAAGAAAAATGGCTGTAATGGCATGATGTAGAAGGTTAATAACTTATCCCAGTAGACCTTTACGAAGACATTGATGAGGCAAAGCTTTGGCACAAAGACTGCTGTCTCCAACACTATCCACCCAGCAGCATTTCTAAGCCCAGAAGTTCTCAAAGGCAATAAAGTTTGCCACACCCTGGAAGGAACATGCCCTGTGACTAGCAGTTTGGCAAACTGTTTTTCCAGCTTTCAGCCTCAAAAAATTACCCAACAAAAAAAAAACAAAAAACCCCCAACAACAACAACAAAAAAAAACCACCCCAGAAAAACCAAGTAACCTAAGCTGTTCGTAAAAGCAATTATCACTGTTAGTTTCAGAACAATTCACACTTAAGAGCAAACAAAACTAGCACTCTGTCCTATCACAACATCTGAACCATTCCACCTAGGCACCATAAAAAAATTGCAGCTATGGTGTTTGCAGTACCACTGAATGGAAAAAAACAAGCACCTAGTGTTTTTTTTCTTTAATGACAACCCCTGCACAAGAAAAACAGGGAAATAAAAATGTGAGCAGGACTTGCCACTGGCAGCAAAAGCTCCTTAAGCCATGAGAGTCACGTCAGGATATTCCCCATTACGAGTTCTTCTTCTGTGATAGACAGTTTGTAGGACTTCAAGAAGCTGAGTACACAGTTAAAACTTCAGTGCTCTAACTCTGACTGGATGGACCAGCTGAACCCTGTTCATTCTTTGTGCATTTTCAAGATGCTAAGGCCATTTCTGCTGTAGATCTCACAACCACCAAAGGTGGTCTGTTACCCATGTTATACCTCCCCAGCTCTGTAAAACTGACTGCCCTTTCCAGGGGTCAGGAAGGATTGTGTCGTGTTTGGTACAGGAAGGCAAGGCCGTGGGATGAGATTACTCATGTGATAAACTGGGGTCAGATGGCATCACATGGAAGATGGAAGACACTGTACTGGCAGTGTCCTGTGATGGCTCCTCTTGAAAAAGGCCTACAGTAGGTGAGGTGAAGCAGTACCTTCCAATACCTGCAGAAAAGCAACTACAGTCTGCCCGAACTCTTCCTGACGGCACAAGACAAGGTGTCTTCTCTGCAAATCCTGCAAGTCTGATGGCAGGAGCATGCCATACATATGAGACATCACCACCTCTCCTCACTTGCCTGTCCTAAGAAAGTGTTGTTACTATATCCTCTGATCCTTACTGATGCATGCTGTGCACTTGACAGGGTGAGGAGAGTAGATCACCTTAACGCAGCTTCATTTAGCTCACCAAGAACGCAGCTTAGCAGTCCGCATGGCCCTTATACTAATGCAGTGCCTAATTTATATTTTTTTTTGCATAGGTTGGTGAGCACAATACTATTCTTTGTGTTTGAGTCTATCAACATTTTTCTTGGCCTGGCGTCAGGTTCAAGTCACATTTTTTGAGTGTATCAGTTTGAAACATTTGCGCAGTCAAGATGAAGCAGGAGCTACAAGAAGATGTACTAAGTACAAGGCCACAGGAAGAGGAGACATGAGCTGGCTGGCAAGGAGTACAGTTCTCCAGCATCATCTTCACGGTCCTCTGCTGGACTTGTTCATGCCTGTTAACATCTTTCTTCACCAAGAGGGCTCAAACCTAGATGTGATCAAACAGGTGCCTAGCAAAAGGGGAATAATCCCTCCCTGTGGTCTCCTGCTTTCCTTCTGTTCATGCTGCCCAGGATGCAGTTGAACTTTGCTACCAGGGCATACCCTGGCTCACATTCAGGTTGCTTTCCACCATAGGGCCAGAGGACCCCTGAGGCCCTTTCATCAGAGCTGCTCCCCAGCCTGCATGACTGCTAAGGGTTCTTACATTCCAGATGCAGGACCTGATGAAGTTTCTACAGTCAACCCTCAACTGAAAGCCAACACAGACTGCCTACAACCAGTAACTGGGGGAGAAGACTTAAACAGCAGACTTCCCTTAATATGGACAGGTTACATCAATGACATTGGCATTAAAGAGAAGGCAACTTCATGTTCAAGAGCTGATCAACAGCGTCTAAAATTTGAAAGAAAAAAGGTCTCCTGCAAGATCTACAAACTTAAAGCCCATGCAACACAGCCAGGGAGGACTGGTGGAGTGACAAGGCAAAAAGATAAAATTCCTGCCACTCTTTTCGGAAAAGAAAGTTTAATAAATTAAACTGGAACAGACCTCCAGATGGACACTCCTGTTCCAGTAACTTGGCAGCTTTTTCCACTCAGATGTAAACTCATTTCCAAAAGTTAGAAGTCAAACTTCAGAAAAGTTTGAGTGAGAATGTTCATGTAGGGGCTTCTGTCAGCATAACTATAACCACTTCAGTATTTATTTTGGCTTTAACCAGTACCCTCACTATGGACACAAGCCCTCATTGTCCGCGCTCAGCCTCCTAAACTGCCCCCTCCCAAAAAAAAGCTCAAGTACCATGAGTAGTGGAAAAGTAAGCGCAACATTAAGCACCTACTAAGTAACATGCAAGTACCAGAATATAAGGAAAACTGCTCCTTTCACAAACTGCTTGTATTTTTTGCCTGGTAATTCCTCCTCAAACTATGTTTGCAGAAGGGAGTTAATTTAGGCTGTAATGGTTATCCTCCTCCTTTCGTCCCTAAAAAAAGGGGGGGAATAAATCACACTTTTTTACTTCTTCACATCCCAGCCTGTTCTCCCAAGCTATTTACAGCTGATTTACCTCAGGCACTGGGTCAGAGGAGAAAATTTTCACCTTCACCATCTGTACAGGAAAAGTACTAGAGGACAAAAACATCTCTGTGTGCCTCTGGCTTGTCAGAGTACAGGGCACATTGTAACACAAGTTGTGGAAAACTCTACCGCCAGGCCCCTACAGTAATTTTCCTACTGAATTCAACATTTACCAACTCTTCCCTTGGGCAAACAGGGAGGGAGGGAGAGCTTCAAACGCAGGTAAGTACTTCATGGTCAAGAAGCATATACTGCAAAGCAGAGTCAGAACTGGAGGCAGCTAGCTCTCAAAAACAAAAGCTAGGAGAGGAATCCTTTCCCTTTCTGTCAGTGTTTTGAAGCTTGTAAGTCTTGAGAAGGGTGTTGGGTTCTCCCTTTACTGCTATGAGAGCCAAACTCAGCCAAGCACATACCACAGATGACAATGGTCAGAATGCCACTGGTGGTTAGGGTTGCAGTGAGAACGGCTCACACAAAGAGGACATCCATGGCTTTCCTGGGGTCTTGCTGCAGCACTGAGTTGGGTATGTAATCAAGTCCCAGGAAACCTCATAGATACCAATTTAAGCTGTCTCCCTCATTTTTTCTCTGCCTGCATCCAGGGATTCAATTACCCACAAGGCTTCCTACGAGATGTAGTCCAATACTGAGTTCCACTGAAACAAGAGCCGTATTTTGGCCACATGTCTTAAACTCACAAGGTCTTACCCAAAGCAAAGCTGAAAGTCAATGGAAAGAATGTTAGTCGATCACTCCTAACAACTGGAACATAGAAACTGGTGACAAAAGCACCAGTAGCTCACCTTGGCCACCTTCTACAGAACAGAATAGCAACAAAGCATTCAGAGATAGGTTTCATCTCAAACAGCAATAAAGGAAGTATATTTCTGTACACTGTGTTTTCTACAACTTGTGGTAACAGAGGTGCCCAAATACTCAGATTGGACCTAGAACCCCTCCACGTCCTCACACATTTGAGGTAGTGAGGCAGAATGGAAGGAGTTCACTTGCAGAGCCCTATCATTCCCCTTTTGTTAGGAATAATACAGATGCATAGGGAATATACAGTTCAGGCCCAGCTCTCTCACTGTTTGCTTAGCAAGGCCACTTAACCTGCCACCTTCCAGTTTATTAAGAAATGCTGAATTCTAGTTTTTTGAGTCAGCAGAGCTGTGTCCCCTACTCCTGGTATAATGGCTATAGCCAAAGCTGGGCTCACCAGATGGGAAAGCTCAGCCCTGAGAGCAAGACTCAGCATGTTTACAACTGCTGCCCTGAGCTAGTAGCATCAGAGCACCACACAGGGAGTTCCCCCGATGATTTGGGAAAACACTAGGGATTTCAAACCCCAGAGCATTAGAAAATCCATGCTACTTCATTCAGCCCTAGCTATTACTTTCAAGTTGCTACAACGGTCCAATGTTTTTTACCACAGTGCTAATGACAAGCAATGAATGGAAAACTATGTGAATTTTAACACCTTAAGTATAACTAAAGAAAAGCAAAAATAGGGAAGACAGCAAGGTACCTCTAGCTTTGCAAGGCTTGCTACAGGCCTCCAAGTTGCTTGGATCCTGCAGCAAATGCCTCCAGCTTTCAGTCACTTTAGGCAGATTGAAGAGCTCCCTGGTCTGAGTGGAGAACTGAGCTCATTGTCATACACAGGCTACCCTGATTGATGACTGTGCTTATTCTGGGTGTAAATTCAGCCATGTCAAAAATTACTGGGGAAAAAAAAAAAGAAAAAAATCCAGCAATGGATCCCTAATATGAATCAAATACAAATTTGGATTTAGATTTCCCAAAACAAGTGGTAAATTAAGTAACAGATGAGTCATTTCTCCCTGCCTTTTTGTTTGAATGCTGCCAGACTTAGAAAACCTATTCAAAATATAAGAACCACCAACCTGACAGTTTCTACTGTGAACCAGTGATGAATTAGCTTGACTAGGAAACAGTGCAGCTGGAAGAGACTGGAATGGTATGGATCCTTAAGGGGAGGAAAAAGATTCAAAACAAAAAAGAGGCAAAACACTTCCGAAACCCAGTGACAGAAAAGCTCCCAAGGCAGTAGAGAACTACCAGAAAGCAGCTGCACCATTACAACAGCCTGAGACAAAGCTTCCATAGCTATGGCTCTATCTTCCCCCTGAGGAACACAGCACACTATCCACTCTAAAGCAGCTGGGTTTTACTGCCTCTAGCATGGCTTGATGCGTGAGTAAAGTGTTGTTTAGTACCCATTTGGGCAATATACCCTGATTTCCCAAATCTTGTTCACCCATCATGGAGGAGACTCAGTTAATAAACAATTTTCTTGTAGTTAGAAACACTCTTGTGCTGCTTTGCAGATACTTGTGCCTCTCCCTGGGCTGCCAGCCCTATTTTTCATCTATTAACCCAAGACTTGATACCTCAAATCTCAACAGATATCAATGGGATGAGAGGACAAGACATCATGAGACACCACCAAGCTAAGCCCACAACAGTGCAGTTCAAAGAGACTGTACAGATTTAAACCTTCCTTACACCACCACTTATTTTAGTGCAATTATGCTCACACACTTCATTAGTAAGGTCTGAACATTCAGATAAAAGTTCAAAGAACTGTTTAAGCATTTTAAAAAGTTGCTAAAATCTTAATGTATGTGTAAGACTTCCTGGCGTTATAGGGACTTGGAATTTGTTCTAGGGTTTTCCTTAATTCCTAAATAAAGGACAGACTTCTGGAATTTGGAAGGTCTTTCCCCACACACCCCCCACCCCCCCTCCCCAGTTGTTTTAACTGGGCCCCAAGATGTCAGCCCCTGGTGGAGATGTGGTCTGAGCCCACACCAGTGCAGGGAGCTGCCTGGGGTGTGGAGCCAGCAATAAGACAAGCAACATTCTCCAGGCTGGGCAGCTGTACAAGAGCAGAACCTCACAGTACAGGAATGCAACAAATACGTCTCTTCTCTAACTCTTTCCCAGTGTCCTTCAGCACCTCATGGATAATGGATTTTGCTGGCAGCAGCGATTTTGAAACCTGCAGTGGTCTTCCAAGCCCAAGTAAGAGAATGAGTCACAGATGTATATGTGTACATTTGCAAACACCAAGATCTTTGCTCTCTTCACACTACCTCAAGAATCTCTCACTTTTCTGCTTCTCACTCCCTGAGATCCTCAGGTTGTCTCCAGTAGTACTATGACAGGAATGTGCTTAAGTTAGTGCACACAGACACAACAGGTTAATCAACTTCACCCAGAAAAGCCATGCCAATATATTAAATAAATAAATAAATAAAATATCCACGCTTATCAGCTTCTGTGGCACCCATATACAGGGAGTTCTCTTGGCGTGCAAGGGAGGTTTCTGCTGCCTCCATCCCAAGTCCTCTCTTTGTCTTGCTTTACTTCTCCCTGCAGTCGCTCTGTTCCAGGCAAAGCTTTAAAAGAAACAAAAAAAAAACATCTGCATCTGGCCTTGTGAATATTTCCAAGCAGACTTGGCTTGGAGAAAACAACTCCCCTAGAGAAAGCCCAGGAAATCTCACACACACAGGGTCAGGGCTGTGACTAGCTGCTGAAATAGATTTGCTCAAACGAGAAATTAACTGCAACAGTTCTGTAATTTCTGAAGGGATAGCTTGTTCCCACAAGTGCTAACTGAAACACCAGCTAATGCAGCTGGTCAAGATTAAGGGAAGTGTGTAAGCCACTGGGAAGGAACACTCGTATTTAGAAATATTCTTGGCTCTGGTAACAAAAAATAGGTCTTAAAGGGCAGAATCTGTTCAAATTTAGGTGCTCAGTACCACTTATTTTTAAATGGGGACGTTGAATATAGTCCCATACTGCATTAGTAAGGGTCCCCCAAAATAGGAACATCTGAAAAGCTCTCAGTCTGTGTATCAAGCCTGCAGAAAAATGAGTGAAAGGTTCCCACAGCCTGCCTTGCCTCCAGTAAGATGACTCAGGGCATGGCCCACCACTACATGCCCAGTACTGGAGAGAAAGGTAGGCCCAAGTCCTTCCACCCAATTGCTTACTTTCCAGTTTTCTTTTTTTCCCCCCAAAAAAAGTTATAGCCATGTGTCCTGGGTTCAGCAGTAGTACTCCTTAGTAGCTGATGCAGTGCTGTTGTTTTGACTTCCAGCCTGGGAACAGTGCTGATAGCACCGATGTTTTTAGTTACTGCTCAGTAATGTTTAGTCTCACCAAGGACTTTCTGAGTCTCATGCTCAACCAGGGAGGGGGGGGGGAAGCAGAGACAGGACACCTGACCCAAACTAACCAAAAGAGTATTCCATACCACAGCATGTCATGCCCAGTATATAAACTGGGGGCAGTTCCCTGGAAGGGCTAGATCGCTGCTCAGGTTGTGCTGGGTATCGGTCGACGGGTGGTGAGCGGTTGTATTCTCTTCCCTTGTTATTTCCTTTATCATTATTATTATTATTGGTGGCAGCAGTAGTGATTTGTGTTATACCTTAGTTACTGGACTGTTCTTATCTCAAACTCTGGGAGTTACATTCTTTAGATTCTCCACCCCATCCCTCCGGGAGTGGGGGAAGGAAGCTGGGGGAGTGAGCAAACAGCTGCATGGTTTCTGAGTGACAGGCTGGGCTTAAACCATGACACTGTGCCCTGTCTGCATGCATCATTAAGCATACAGTGCCTGTCTCCCAGCCCACCACCACCAGAGGTATATCTTTCACTTTTTACAGTTTTACATATACAATACTGAAATTCTCAGAATGTAAAAGTAGGTTTTGCAGCATGCCAGGAAAGAAAACCTAATTGCTCTCTACATCTTCCTTTACCTTCTCTGCCTTTCCCTGAACCTCACCTCTTTTCTCAGGTTACATTAACAGTCAAAAGCTTGTGTTACTACTTCAAACCAAGAACTCTCTTCTTTTGCTGATATACTGTAGTACTGGTATGGATCAAGAGACTTCTCCTCTGAAGCAGGAAAAGAAATATTGAGTACTTATTTCAGTATTATGTGGTTGAGACAAGTATTCTCCATTATTCCAAAGTGTTTAAGAATGTACCTTTCCAGACAAGAAATTTTTAGGAACTCTTGACTTAAAATATGAACGATGACTTCCCTTCTATTATGAACGGATTTTAATTCTAATCATATCCTACAAGACTTAATCAAAGTCATTTTAACACACAGAGAAACACTTTTTATTGTAATCCACATATTGTACAATTAAATGGCTACAAATAAAAGTAATTTTTCTTCACTTGCCCAGTGCAAGCTAACAGAAATAATATAAGAAAATAGGAAATGGAAACAGAATATTTTAAATCATGTCACTAAGTAGGAGTTCAAGCAGCAATAAGAAACACACCAAGTTAATTCTGGAGCAAAGGAACAATACACAATAATTGACCCTTTCTTGTGAAAATTTTGCTGATACACCACAATACAGACATTCTTCCTGAAGACTTTCAGCCATCTTTTCTTTTAGGCCACAGGAAATATAAAATAGGAACACAGTGGTTTGCATGTCAACCCAGACAAAGAAAAAGGAACAATGCTAGTAATAGTGGTCTTCAAGATGAAACCAAAATTTAGCATTTGAAGGTCTACTTCAAAGTAGGGAAGACCTGCAAGAGAAATGTAAGAACAGAGCATAAACTGTTCTTCCTACAAGCAAAGCGGCTAAGGATGCTTGGCCATTAAGAAAAATTTTAGAATCATAGAATAGTTAGTGTTGGGAAGGACCTTAAGATCATCTGGTTCCAACCCTCCTGCCATGGGCAGGGACACCTCACACTAAACCATCTCACCCAAGGCTTCGTCCAACCTGGCCTTGAACACTGCCAGGGATGGAGCACTCACACCCTCCCTGGGCAACCCATTCCAGGGCTTCACCACCCTCACAGGAAAGAACTTCTTCCTTATATCCAATCTAAACTTCCCCTGTTTAAGTTTTAACCCATTACCCCTTGTCCTATCACTACAGTCCCCAATGAAGAGTCCCTCCCCAGCATCCCTGTAGGCCCCCTTCAGATACTGGAAGGCTGCTCTGAGGTCTCCACGCAGCCTTCTCTTCTCCAGGCTGAACAGCCCCAACTTTCTCAGCCTATGTTCATAGAGGAGGTGCTCTCCACTCCCTTGATCATCCTCGTGGCCCTTCTCTGGACTTGTTCCAACAGTTCCATGTCCTTTTTATGTTGAGGACACCAGAGCAGGAAATGCTCAAAATAAAGTAGTCACTGAAAATCACTAGTATTTCATATTTTCACATCAGTCTCCCTCGAACTACCAACATTTACACACAGCTTGATGCAAACTGCTGAAAATAGAGATTTCTTTCACCTGCAGTGACCTTCACACTACAGCTCAACAACCTTCTCATGTTTGAAGAAATCCATTCAATCTGCTTAGTAGTTTACAATTGTCCTTTATCTTTCCCCATGTGTAAGCTTTCCCTTCAAGCTGCTAGGCAAGTGCAGCATAAGTGATAAAGACACATCACTGTCACATATCAGTAAGTCCCTGGGCGACATTCATTCTCAAATCAGATTTTCTCCTATTGAAAGCACAGGTATAAACTCAATGGAACCAAACTGCTGGGAGCTCCCACTAGCACATGAAGCAGGACTGGCAGGTTGCACTTGCTCTGCTAAGTGCTCTCAGCATCCTGCAGACTTTCTGCAAGTGACATGCAGGCTTCAAACCAACAGTCAGTTGCGGAGCAAGGAACAGACCCCAGCAAGAATGAATGAAAAAACCATCAGGCAACCATGACAAGAAGTCCCCAGTGGCCCTGAACTGCAAGGACATATATTGCATCACATGGTCACCCTCTAGCCTGGTTTAAACAAACCAGGGCTGCTCTACACCAGAAGTCACTACTTTTTGTTAGCAGCTTTTCAAGAAAAGCCCTGCACAGACCAGGCAATAGAACTGCCACCCCAAGTTATCTGCTTGAATTCAGATCTGCATTTAGGGCTGATTTCCATCCAGACCCTTCAGGTCTCCAGTGGACCAGAAATTCCTTTGCTGTTGCTGCAGGCTAAATAGGACTGTCAAATGGACAACAGCACCAAGCCTTCCAGACCTAGTCTCCAACAAGTTGCAATTTGCCTACATACTCAGGTGCAAGAAACATCACATAGAAACCTCAGCTGTAAAACATTTCATGAATGTGCAGCAATTTCTGAAAAAATGTGGCACAAATGCTAGGAGCTATCCTCCAGTTCAGCTGGTCTTGAAGACTTCTGAGGATTCAGGTACGTAGTTGCTGAGCAACAGTTTGCTGAATTCCACCTCTGTAGGCTTTTGGACAGTACAGAGCACTGTAACTGACTACTAAGCCTGCAGAGCTTACTGGAGGTCCTCATGCTTTTCTGCAACCCTAGTGTCCACCCCCTCTGAGAAGGGTCCTTGGATTAACAGCTGCAAGGAGTTAGAAAAAGCTGGGGCATACGTATGCCCCACGGGTACACGTCCATTCCACCAGAAGCGACAATCTGCATTTGCCCATGAAGGCTTAGAAAGCAGGAGTTACACGCAGGAAGAAATTCTGGACTCAGACACCATCCCAAGTCAGGACTGCCCGAGTACAGCAGTCTCAAAGAGTCTCCCAGTAACAATACCTGCAACCACAAGAAGGATCCCATCAACTTCCAGGAGGCTGGAATTTTTAATTCATGCTCCTGGGACATGCAGGCCAATGAGCCCAGTGCAAAGTATTTTATTTCTGTTGCACCACCATATGGAAATGTTTAATCA